TATGCCTAAAATGTACCAATAAGTGTTGTGCTATTAAAAAAACAAAACAGGCCAGGTGTGGTGGTGCACACCTGTAATCCCAGCACTGGGGAGGCTGAGGCAGGAGGATCACCGTAAGTTCCAGGCCAGCCTGGGCTACATAGTGAGTTCAGGGGCAACCTGAACTACAAAGGGAAACCCTGCCTCAAACAACAACAACAAGGGGCTGGGGATTTAGCTCAGTGGCGCCGCTGCCTGGCTGTCAAGTGGAAGGTCCCGAGTTCGATCCCTGGTACCAAAACAACAACAACAACAAAAACTATTTGGGAGTAACAACTGTCACTAGATTTAGAATGTCTTTCTACTCCTTAACAACTGGCCAATACACAGACCTCTTACACTTAAAAAATGGTTAACAAATTTCAAGAGCAAATAATAGGCATTCTGCTTTGCTCAAGTAGTTCAAAGAAATAGTTGTAGGTGGCTTTCAAGTTGCATAGTCAATAAAAATTCATGAGAAGATAGGAATCAGTTTTTGGTTCCCCAGGCTGGAGCTACCATACTGTCTTGTCTTGTCTTTTCTTTTTTTTTTTTTTTTTGGTACCAGGGATCAAACTCGGGTCCCTGCACTTGTGAGGCACGTGGCAGAACCACTGAGCTAAATCCCTGGCCCATACTGTCTTGTCTTATGCTATCCTCTCTCATAGTTAATCCCACTTGGAAACCCATCGCAGCATGGTCCCCTTTTTCCCAAGACTCTTGCATACTTCCTAGACTACCAGAACTTTATCAGTGGAGTTCATCTGTGAAGAGTCTCCTTGGCCTCCCTGGCCCCCAGTTCGCCTGTGTATTACTCATCTTGTTCAACACGCCTTGTCTGTGTTCACCTATTTAACCACTTCTTCAAATCTGGCTTCATTCCCATAAGCAGACTAATAATCATGCCAAGCCATGACTTTCAACCTGAACCTCCTCTGTTTAAGAATTAATTCACTTGGGCTGGGGATTTAGCTCAGTGGTTCTGCCACCTGCCTTGCAAGCACAAGGACCCGAGATCGATCTCTGGTACCAAAAAAAAAAAAAAGAATTAATTCACTTGCTCAGTGGTGCTGTCACCTGCCTCACAAGTGCAAGGTTCTGAGTTAGATCCCTGGTACCAAAAAAAAAAAAATTAATTCACTCATTCAGCAGACATTCAATGACCACTGTCAATACTGTGGAAGGTAAAAATATACACAGTAACTATGACAGGATAGAGATGCGGACAGGACATCACAACACAAGGAGTAGTACTGGTACTCAGAATCTGGAAAGTCCACTGGATGCCACGTGAAGTCAGAACTGGCACAGAAGTCGGATGAGAGGACGCTGTTTCCAACCTGAGGAACCAGCAGAACAGCAGTGTGTTAACAAGCCTGGGGACGTTGGGAGGACACGCAAATGAGGACAGTGAATGTGCCTGCCAAACTCCAAATCAAGGTATACGATCAGAGATAATGAAGTTTCAACACCAAAATACTAGAATTTCCAGGAATGATGGTTTAAAGGGACAACAGCACAGAATATAAAACTGGAACTGTGCTAGGAAAAAATCTAGGCCATGGCTTCGGTAGGGTTAAGAAAATATGGTGGGAAAGGAAGATTACAAATACTCAATGTACTAGCCTAAACAGCTGTTTTTATCTAGCAAAGTTAACACCGATTTGGGGTTTTAGACTGTTTTTGCACTACTGCAATACTCAGCATCTTCAGCAGGTAATCCTGGCCATTCTGTGGCCTCTGTGGCACTACCCATGGTGTCTGGGAGCCTCATGTGAGCAGGACTCGCACCACCCACCAAACTGCTGGGGGCCCTCAGGGCTACTGACAGCCCTGCCCTACAACCCCCTAGTCCCCTGTAGCTGCTGAAAGCACCACAGGGTGACATTATGTTGAAGATAGCCACTGGCAAGTCGAGACTCACAAATATTTTCAACATCAGAAGCAAAGAGATATTCAGAGCTGCCTTCCATTCTACAGTAGGTGGGCCTAAAAACAAATCAACATGCAAGTTTTGTTAATATATTGAAACCACTGACTCATATACAGTAGTTTAAACTGGTGAATTTACAGTATATGAATATCTCAATAGTGCTGTAATTTTACAACTTCAACACATCAGGCCAGGGATTTAGCTCAGTGGTTCTGCCGCCTGCCTCACAAGCACAAGGCCCCGAGTTCGATCCCTGGTACCAAAGGAAAAAAAAATTCAGCAGATCCCCAGAACTGCTGAAAAAAATCAACAAATATATTTTAAACAAAATGTTAATTCCCAGGAATGTTGTATCCCAGGAACCTAGCTATTGCTCTTAAACTATTCACACTGTTGAAAAAATTTATAAAATGGAAATCCTGCTAAATTACTGGGACAAAACCATTATTCTAATGCACACCAGAGAGAGTACGAGAAACAGAAGAAAGAAATGGAATAGTCCCTTGCCCTTCACTGTAACAGCTGATGTGCATCACACCAAAGTCTGCCTTGCAGCTCTGAATGACACTTCTCTACAGGGCACTTTTCAGAATTAACCACAATGCTGAATGCCCTAAATGTGGCCTGTCACTAATACATCTTTCCTTATGATCTACCCCAGAACTTCCTCCCCTACAGCTTTCTGCAAGGGAAAGATCCTTGTGTTTACCGATACTTCTAATGATTTCCTTTTTCCTCTAAGAATCACTACCCCAGTTTTTGTCTCCAGAACCATCCAGCCTTCCATGTCCTGATACCTTCCCTGATTTCTGCTAATGAACACTCTACCAGCTGCCTGCTGCTTGCTGAGGTAAGAGCATCCTTGCAGAGTCAAAGGTGGTCAAAAATATAAGAAGCAGTTTTGGCTTTTTTTTTTTTTTTTGGTACCGGGAATCGAACTCGGGTCCTTGCGCTTGCGCAGCAGGTGGCTAAACCACTGAGCTAAATCCCCAGCTCCAGTTTTGGTTTTTTGAGACAGGGTCTCACTATGTAGCCCAGGTTGGCCTGGAACTCATGGCAACCCTCCTGCCTCAGCTTCCCCCATCACACCCAGCCATCCCTACTAATTTTGAGGCCAGCCTGGGATTGCTGGGAGTTCAAGGCCATCCAAAAAAGAAAAAGAAAGAAAAGAAAGAAAGAAAGAAAGAAAGAAAGAAAGAAAGAAAGAAAGAAGGAAGGAAGGAAGGAAGGAAGGAAGGAAGGAAGGAAGGAAGGAAGGAAGGAAAGAAAGAAAGAAAGAAAGAAAGAAAGAAAGAAAGAAAGAAAGAAAGAAAAGGCCAGGGATGTAGCTCAGTGGCGCTGCCTGGCAACCAAAAGGTCCTAAATTCGATTCCCAGTGATTTGGGGGCGGGGCTGGGGGGGGAGGTATAAGAAGCAGACTGTATGAGAAAAGCCCCTAAAGGAAAAGACAGACTTGTTCATTGTTAGTAACTCCCAATGTGTTATCTGGCATACAGCACGCCTGATATTCCTGCCTGTCATTAAGTGGAGGCCCATTCACAGAATTAGCCAACAAATAACCAAGTGGTCAGACTATACTTAGGTGTACCTGTATTTAGAAGAAGGCACCTTGAGCTTCAACTTTAGTCTTGATTACTAGACTAGTCTGTCTTTACAATGACTAACAGATAAATTTCTAAACAAATTTATGATAAAGCTGTGACAGAAGCCCAAAACCTTACAATTTTTTTTAAAAGTCACAATATTTCCTTGATTTTTTTCTTCCTTTTGCTTTTTTTGAGACATTATGTAGTCCAAACCGGCCTTGATCTCACTATGTAGGCCAAACTGGCCTTGAACTCCCAGCAATCCTCCTGCCTCAGCTTCCCAAATGCTAGGATTATAGCCATGTGCCACCACACCCATCCTCTTTGATTTTTTCTTCACAAATTATCTGGAGGGTAGGGAGCAGATCCAACAATTTACTATCCAAGCAAACCCGAATGAACAGCTCTAATATGGATTATGATGGGGGGGGCAGACTATACAAAGTAACTAGAGAATGTTTACAGAATGACATCTCTTCACATGGAAATACTGTAACTGATATGTCCTAGTATGTACTCACACATTCATTAGGAGGGTTAAATGAGTTCAGATTTGTACAACAGTTAAAGTAACTTTTAATCAGTTTCCAATTACATTCATACATATGTTAGAGAGCTACAGTACCTAAAATAAAATTACCAGGAGAAATTCTAACCGTGCAGTTCTCAAATCTAGGGGTGGAAGGGGGTCCCTGAGAATCTGTCATGCAAGCTCCTCATTTCATGGTTGAAGAAATTAATCATATGCCTATTTGTAGAGAAATTCGAGGATCACAGAAAGCTTTCACAACTGCTATTAATCACAATGGCTTATGAGGGATGCAGGGCGGGTATAATTAACTGCATTTACAGGGGAGGAAACTTGAATGCTGGAGCTTAAGTGACTTGCTCAAGGTCGCATAGTGAGGCCACAGAGTCAGGTCTCTGGCCGCCCCGTCCACATCCCTTTCCTCTATGGTGCGACTTGGGGCCTGGGCTGACTTGGGTTTCATTTGTAAGCAATGATTCCACGTCCCTACGTAAATGGAGATGCTGCCGCTGCGAATGTGCACTTACAAAGTTAAAGCAATTTTGCTCCTGGAATTAGAGGTACTTGACAGCTGGCTGGACGCCACCCGCCCAGAGACTGCGGGAGAAAATGCCACGACTGCACGCATTCATGAGAGCACGCGGCTGCCCGGGACCGGCTTTCAGGACGGGCAGCGAGGGACAGCTCTGCAAATGCGCCATTCGGAGGCGAGGCGGTGCCTCCCACCCGGCGGGAGGAAGGGCTCCCAGGAGCCAGGGACCGCGCCCGCCCGTCCCCCCGCCGCTGCACCGGCGACGCCGACCCGAGCCGGTCCCCAGCCTCTCCTGGGACAACAAGGCCGCCGGGCCCCGCGGGGCGACCGGGCAGCGCCAGGCCTCTCCCGCCGCCTCCCGCCTCGGTCTCCTCCGGGCGCGGGGCTGCGTTACTGCGTTACCTTTGTGTAGAGCTCGAACGCCGCCATGGCGCCGTGACGCCTCGCCGCGCGTGGGCCGCCGGCCGCTCGCAGCCCAGAGCCCGGGCGACCGGGGCGGGACCGGGGCGGGGCTGGGCGGGGCTTCGCCTCACCGCCCCGAGCCGCGCCCGCGTCCTCCGGGCCGCCGCGCCGCCGCAGTCTCCTCCGCGGGCCGCGCCGCCCGGTGCATTGTGGGAGCCGGGGGAGGGGAGCGGGCTCGCTCGGGCTCGCTCGGGCTCGCGCGCCGCTGCCCCACCTCTCCTCACTCTTCGGCCCGCCACGGCCACGCCCCGAGTCCCCGCGGGCTGCAGGTGGAGCTCGGCGTGAAGACGCCTCGGGGCGCTGGAGGCGGGGCGGGAGCAGGGGCGCTACCACTCGCCGGCTCTGACGGGGCTCGTTCTGGGCGACCCCGGGCGACCCCGGCCCCCATCCCGCCCTGCCCGGGTCCCCTGTTGGTCCCGGAGGTCTCGGGTTCCACCACTGACCCGGGCCGCAGACCGGCCCTCCTCATCCCAAACCCCGTCCGACCCCGCAGGGCGCCGGGAACCCAGCCTGCGCCCGGCGCCCACTCTGGTGTGGCCGGCGTTGCCCTGCGAACCCCAGGCGGGCCCGCCCCTGCGAGAGTGCGGCGCCTGCTCCAGGAAGGCGCGAGATGACGGGGCCAGTCAGAAATGCCAGGCCGGGCGACTGGGGCCCAGAGCCGACGCAGTTGTCGGCTCTGCCCAGCTGTTTTCGTCTCTGGGTTGGGACACAGCTGGGGATGGAACCCAGGTCCCACACGCTAGGCCAGCGCTCCAGCCCTCTGCATTTTAGATTGAGACAGGGTCTCCCTAAGTTGCCTAGGCTGGCCTCCAACTTGAAATCCCCCTGCCTCAGCCTCCCGATCACCTGGGATACCCTGGGTGCCCTACCATGTATGACGTCCACTCCTTCTGATTCTGAAACCAAATCTCTGTTTCAGGTCCAACTCTTTCTTTGCCCAGATGTAAAAAGAGAAACTTGCAGTTCTGACTGCACTGGACCAAGATTTAGGAGGCCTGGCATCTGCCTTCAGTTTCTTGGTGCCTGGTGCAAAGTGCCTGTTTTCTTACCCTCCAATGATACCAAGGTCAGGGCTGTGGAGAAATGCTGAGTATGATGAGGAATAGCCAAATACTGAAAGAGTTCTTGTAGGTATGAATGCTTTTTTTTTAATGAAAGGGAGAAAAGAACCTGGAATTATTCTCGCTCGTAATTCTTGAGCACATGCTCTCAGCCACTCAAACATGTAGGGCCATAATAAGAAGGCAGCAGTCTGAAAAGAAGAGTTTTCTACCCAGACCTCTTTTCGTTCAGAAAAAGAGCAGACTTGGAACCCAAAAGGCCGTGGTGCCCCTCTGGGTTTCCTCCTCTCCCTTGCCCAGGATATCACAGTCCTGTTGCTCTTGTTCTTAGTGAAATTGGAAACTAGCAGTAGCTACAGCTTCCATGGACTCAGGGTCCCCTCTCAGAGGAACCAAAGCATTATACATAGCGAAATGAGACAAATTAATAGGTGGCTGGAGAGGGGTCAGGCCCTCACGGCATCAGGGCAGAGGCTGAGACATCAAAACTGCAGCTGCAGGCGAATCTGAAGAGACCCAGGCCACAGGATGGAGATGGAAAGCCAGGCCCACAGGCCTCCCTGGAGATAAATGGCAGCTTGAGATCGTCTGTGGTCAGCACGACCTGGCCCAGCTAGCCTGGACAGGTACCCAATGCACAGATGGACAAGCAGACACCCTTACTGTTCTCCCAGCCCTTCCAGGAATGCCTTCGTCCTTCCCATGTCAGAAGGTACAGATGAGCTCAGACTAATGGTGCTCGTCATGCACCCTTGCCATGTGCTTGGCTTCCCCACTGGGTCGGTAGTAGCTGAGCAACTGTCCTTGTAACCCAGTAGGTTGATTGTAGTTTGACCATAGCTGCCCGAGTTATTGAGGTTGTTGATCATAGGCTAGGTGGGAGCTGGAGCTTCTGGCCTTGTCCAGGAGCACAGGGGAGTATGGAGATTTGGGGCTGGGGGACGGCTGCAGGGTGGACAGCTTGCCTGGCATGCTGAGACTATGTGTTCAGTCCCCGACACCAGAAAAAAATAAAAGGAAAAAAAGTCAAAATTGAGTTTCTACTGAATATGTATCACTTACACACCACTGTAAGTTGAAAAGTTATAAATTGAACCCCATAAGTTGAAGATCATATGGATTCATGGAGATTACTTTTCCCACAAATATTGAAAGCTACAATGTTCTAGGGATTGTCCCTCATGTCCAAGAACTCATGCATGAACAAAACAGACTAAGATATCTGACCTTGGCCCAGATGTGGGGGCTCATGCCTGTAATCCCAGTACTGTAGGAGGCTAAGTCAGAAGAATCTGGCCTGGGCAACTTAGAGACTTAGTAAGACTGTCTCAGTAAAATTAATTAAATTTAAAAACAAATAAATAAATGAGACTTCACAGAGCTTACATCCTAGTCAGGGAGATAATTATAAAGTTGAAAGGAAAAGATGATAAGTAGGTGCATTATTTTGCTAGAGCCACCGTAATAAAGCACTACATACAGAAATGTATTCTCACAGTTCTGGAGGCCACAGTTCTGCAGGGTGGGTCCCTCTGAGGCCTGTGAAGGAGACCAGTGCCCTGCCCCGTCCTGGCCTCTGGGTGTCTGGAGCTCTTTGCCCTGTGTCTCGCTCTGCAGACGATTTGCCCAGTTCTTCACATGGCTTTCTCCCCAGGTGTGTGGGGTCCTCGTGCCCAAAAGTCCCTGTTCTTGAGGACACCATAGTGTTGGATGAGGGCCCGCACCCAAAATCTTGATTATCTGCAAAGAGATTGTTTGTATTTCCAAATAAGGCCACATTTCTAGGTACTGGGGGTTAGGACTTCAACATCTTTTGGGAGACAAAATTCAACCCATACTAGTGTACACCAGAGAAACCTGGCAATGCATGAGGGTGTAGAGACAGCAATTTGGACTGGGGATTTAGCTCAGTGGTTCTGCCACCTGCCTCGAAAGTGCAAGGACCAGAGTTCAATCCCCTGGTACCAAAAAAAAAAAACAGAGACAGCAGTTTGACATAGGGTGATCACTGCTGTCTTCATGTGGAAACTTTTTCATTGGGCCGATTATGTGCTTGCATTTAGCATAACAAAGACAGTGCTGACTGAACTGTGGCCTGGGGTGGCTCTCCGCAAGGTGGGCGGGGTGGGGGAAGGGCAGCCCTGCTGCCTGGCCTTCGGAGGTAGAATGGTGACTGCAAAATGGGCCAAGGTCAGGGCCAGAGGCAAAGGTCTGGGCCCCTGGGGCTTGTCTCTTACGTATCCCAAACCTCGGGTCACAGAGGACCAGGAACCGGACATGGGTGGTTTGGGTGGCTAAGGAAGTCTTAGAGTTCAGTGGGAATCCGAATGGAGGTATGGGTGGGAGGTCATTTATGACCAAGGGACCGACAGAAGAGCAGCACGAAGAGCTAAGCTCTGATGCTGAAAAGTCCAGAATAGAGTAGTTCCACGGTGAGCAGAGTTTACAGTAACTTATTCTACCAAGAACTAGAAGAGAGGAGTTCTAAGGCTCCAAACACAAAGAAAAGATAAATGTTAAGAAGCTAGAAATGCTAATCACCACAATGTGATTGTGACACGTTACAGACAGTTTTATAATACCATGCTGTATGCTATGGGTAGGTAAAATTTAAAACAAAAAAGAGAACAGAGTAAGGCTGACTAAAAGATATTTGGGCCAGTGTGGCTGCACAGGCTGTGATTCCAACCCTCTGGGAGGCTGAGGCAGCCAAGCAGGAGGGAGCTAGGAGAAGGCGGAGGAAGGAAGGAGGCCTGCCTGCCACCTGCCTCCAACTGGGTCCCCGCTTCTGAAGCCTTAGGTAACCATGGAAATGGCTAGGGGGCCGCCTCTCTGGGACCAGAGCCACCTTCTGGGCTAAACATCAGCCAGGATCAGGGTGCCAAGGCCCACGCACAGGAGAAAGGGTGGCCAGGTGACTTTGCTTCCACACGGTGAGTCCCTAGCCTCTGCCAGGTCTTCTGCAGCCCTGGGCCACCCTGTGGCCCTGGACACCAGGACAGGACCTCCAAGGCCATGAATGGTCAGAACTCCACCTAGTCCACTTGAGCCTTTAAAAAATAAATACAGGCCTCCCAAGCACAAGGACCCGAGTTCAATCCCCAGTACCAAAAAAATAAATAAATACAGGAACTTTTTATTTTAGAACAGTTTTAGATTTACAGAAAAATTACACAGGTAATAGAGTTCCCACATACTCTCCCCTGATTTAATACCTTACCTTCCAAACTGAGAGTGATTCGTATTTTATTCAGGTCCCCTTACTGGTAGCTGCGGTTCTCCTCCCACTCCAGACCCTGTCCCAAAGTCCCAGCACATTGGGCCAGCGTGGCTCTTCAGGGTCCTCCCAGTGGTTGATTCTCACTCTCCTTGTTCTGGAACAGTTCTGAGATGCATGGGTCAGGTGTGTTGTAGGGTGTCTCTCCATTGGGACTTGTCTCGAATGTCATTTTTGTGACATCATGACACCACGCCACAGCCATGACCTGTCACCCTTCCTGTTGCTCGATCGCTGGCCCAGGGAGTGCCTGGCAGGCACATGTACTAAGAAGTCACTCCTTTCCCTCTGTGGACTGCATTGTGTCCCCTCCCAGGTTCATGCACTGAAATTCAGCTCCTAGGGCCTTGGGGAACAGAGCTGCGGTTGGAGACCATCATTAGGTTAAAGGAGGTCAGCTAGACCTTCTGTCACTATGATTAGTGTCCTTGTGACAGAGGTGAGGGCAGACAGGGACAGGAAGAAACTGACCACATGCAAGGCGAGTGGAGAAGCCTCTGAAGTGACCCCGCTCACACCTGCATGTCAGACTTCTGGCTTCCACCATGGTGGGGACTTCCTTTCCACTCTTTAAGCAGCCCTGGCAAGCTAATACTGAATTCCCTGTATCCATATAGTACTCTGCTTTTTGAGACAGGGTCTTGCTATGTTGTTCAGGCTGGGCTTGAATGCACTGTGTAGCCCAGGCTCAC